TAATTCGGATGCAGGGAGAGTTTGGTGTTCCCAGTTCTGCAGTTTGTGATTGTTAAACAGATTTGTTTGTTTATTTAGATTTTTGGATCGGACAGCATACCCTAATGATCGGTGGATGTTGTGAATACACTGGATTGTAGCTTTTCTATCTGGTGTGCCACTGTCACACTCATTTACCCACATGTACTATTGAACATGTTTTTAGTGGGAGTGGAATCTGGAAAAAACAAACATAACTTACACAGACACAAGGAGAACATGCAACCTCCACAGGCCCTGCCCATGGTTTAGTGGTTGCTTCATAGATACACCCATCTCAGAAATATTTGAAGCATCATATTAAATACAAAATTAAAAAATATTTCAATTTATTTCCTCCATTCTACGGTTTGACACAGGCATAATGAATAGCCTGGAAGCTGTTGATAGTATCTTTACTTCCAGAGAACAAAAGTAGTTTTCTTTTTTTTTAATACTCTTTATTTTTCATTTTTCAAGTACATTTACAAAGCATACAAACAAAGGTTTCAAGGATTGAAAGCAATCATGGTAATGAAATTGATTCATAAACAAACAAAAAACAAAAACAAAAGGAACTTAAAGTCTGGTAACCCTGTCACAATGTATATAACCTTACAGTACGTGCAAAATACAAGCCTAATTCAATAATGCATTTTCATGAAACTAACCTGGCTTCATTGAACACCTTCCATTTTTCCCATTGCTCATTGTACTTCTGTCCCTCTAGCCTAAGATTATATGTAATTTTTTCCATAACGGAAATGCTTTCCACGATCCGGATCCAGTCTTGTTGTGTAGGTGGTTCTGGCTGTAGCCAAACTTTTGTAATTGCCTTTTTAGCTGCAGCAAGAATAATTTTTGTCAAATAAATGTCCTCTTTCCCTACCACCTTCTGTATATTACCTAGGTATAGCACAAGGCAACCGCCCGGAATTTCATAGCCCAGTATATCTTTTATGGTTGTTTTTATTTGATCCCAATATCTCCCCAATTTGGTACAATTCCAGAATATGTGTGAATGATTAGCCTCCATTTCTCCACACAATCTCCAACATTCCTGTGGGATGGAAATCTGCCTGCTTTTAATTTGAGGTGTAATAAAAAAACGTGTCAAATTCTTCCAGCAAAACTCCCTCCACATCAACGAGTTAGTTGTACTGTGGTGTATTTCACACATCCGGAACCATTCATCATCTGCTACAACTATCCCCAACTCCGCCTCCCATTTTTTTTTTATATATTAAAGTTGAATCTTTCCGAGCATCCCCCAGAGAACTATAAAATGCAGAAATGGCCTTTGTTGTTTTTTGTCCATAGAAGCTCATTATCACCCCAATTATGCCAAGTGTTTCATTAAATATTGTGGGCCTAGATTGTTTTGTATAGTAGTCCCGTACTTGCAAATACCTAAAAAAGTCTTTATTTTCTAAGCCATATTTTCCCTTAACCTGTTCAAAACTCATTAGTTTTCCATTTTTCAAAAGGGTGCAGATTGCAGTAATCCCCTTAAGCTCCCATTGTTGAAATGATTGATCAAGTCGCCCTGGTTTAAACTTTTTGTCATACCTAAACCACTTAAGTAGAAAGCATTCATCTTTACATTTATATTTTTCTATTAAACTGTGCCATGTTTCCAGAGTAAATTTAACTATTTGAGTCCTCCTGTGGACTCACCACCTGCAGAGGGTCAGTGAGGGGCTGGTGCTATGAGACTTGGGTGGCATCTCTGACTGCCACCCCCCTGACCCAGAAATGGATTAAAGGGTAGAAAATGGATGGATGGATGGATGGATTTAACTATTTGATTCATCTTATTCTTATGACTTAATGTTAGCCCTTTGTCAGCAATAAAGATTTGGACTTTGTAACCCTCAATTTCTTTTTCAATGTCCCTCCACCTTGCTTCATAGTCTGGTCTGCACCAACATGCCAGGGGTCTGAGCTGGGCTGCATAAAAGTACTCTCTTAGGTTGGGCAGAGCCATCCCTCCTTTCGATTTTGGGAGCTGCAATGTTGTGTACTTTATTCTCGGCTTTTTTCCATTCCATATAAATCTTGAGATCATTCGATCCCATAATTTGAATTTGTTTGGTGGTACAGGAAGTGGGAGAGCTTGAAATAAGTATAACAATCTTGGTAGGACATTCATCTTTATTATTTGTATTCGAGAGTAGAAACTTGTGGGCAAAGTACACCGACGGTCTAAATCTTTTTTAATTTCCTCTTCTATTTTCCCATAGTTCGTTACAAACATCGTTAAGAGTGACTTTGTCAATATTATACCTAAATATTTTAAAGTGTTTGAATTCCATTTTAATTTATATTGATCTCTAATATCTTGGGAAGGCACGTAGTTAAATGCTAGAATTTGTGTCTTGGTTATATTTATTTTGTAGCCTGACAGGTGTTCATATGATTGGAATAAATGCATTAAACTAGGAAGACCACATTCGGGATTCCGAAGGAAAATTATGACATCATCAGCAAAAAGGCCAATAATGTGTCGCTGTCCTGAAAGTGTGACACCCTCCAGATCTGGACTTTGCCTCACTGCTTGTGCTAGGGGCTCCACGTACAGTGAAAACAGAATTGGCGAGAGAACGCAGCCCTGTCTGGTTCCCCTTTGTAATGTTATTCTATCTGTTAGGCTCCCGTTCACTTTTATTCTAGCTGTAGGGTTGTGGTAGAGCGCCTTAATACACTGGATGGCCTTGTCATTGAAACCAAACTTGGTTAATACTTCATACAGATATAGCCAACTAACACTGTCAAATGCTTTTTCCTGGTCCAGACTAATTATCAGTGTGCCAAGGTTGGATTTTTGAGAATTATCAATAATGTGTAGGGCTCTTCTTATATTATCTTGCGTCTGGCGCCCCTTTATGAAGCCAGTTTGGTCTACTTCTATCAAGTCTGGTGCAAATGTTTCCAATCTTTTGCTTATAATTGAGGCATAGATTTTATAGTCAACATTAAGAAGGGAAATAGGTCTATAATTTTTGCAATGCTCCTTATCCTTCCCTTCTTTAGGTAAGATTGTGATGATGGCTTCTCCCCAAGATGGTGGGGCTATGCCCTCTTTAAGAGTCCAATTAAAACATGCTAAAAGGAGAGGCTTTAATTCTTCTCTAAACACCTTATAAAATTCAGACTGAAAACCATCGCTACCTGGTGACTTACAATTTTTTTGCTTGCTAATAGCAACCTCTAGTTCTTTGTCTGTGATCTGTGATGTAATTGTATTATTTTGGTTTTCTCCTATTGAAGGCAGATCCAGCGACTCAAGAAAGGTCCTGATTGTTTCACTATCAGCAGCTGGTGGTTGAGAATACAACCCTACATAATATTTCTTGAACTCATTTTCTATCTCGTATGGTGTATTGTGTAATCTATTGTTATTGATATTTCTTATTTTGTTAATAGCCATTGATGCTTGTTGTTTACGCAGACGTCTTGCTAACATTTTAGCTGCTTTTGGGCCAGATTCATAATAGGTTTGTTTGGTAAATCTTGCTTTCCTTTCTACTTCTACTCCAAGAATTTCATCTATTTCTTTCCTAATATTTATTATTTTTTTGTAAAATGCTTTGATTGCCAGTTAGTTTATGTTCTTCCTCCAAGGTTTTAAGTATTTTGGTCTTGTTCTTATAGGTAGCAAGCCTATCTCGTTTTTGTGCAGCTGTGAGAGCAATTAGTTTCCCTCGTAATACTGCCTTCAGAGCATCCCAAAGAATCACTGGGTTCACGTCCCCTGTCTCATTGTGTTCTATGTACTCCAGAATTTCCTCCTTAATCTTTTTAACATACTCCTCCCGGTTCAAAATACCCACATTAAGCCTCCACGCTGTATTTATTTTCCTGTTATTTAGATTAATTTCCAAACTAATCATACTATGATCCGAAACATCTGTCACACCAATCTTGCAGTCTGTGACATTGTGAGCTTCCTCTGCATTAATTATGAAGTAGTCAATTCTTGAGTAAACTGCATGAGCAGCAGAATAATGTGTATAGTCTCTAACATGCGGATTAAGTGTCCTCCAAATGTCAATCATTCCCAATTCCTGTATTATTGTATTCATTACATTTGTCATACGATGTTTAGATTTTTTAATGCTAGTTGTATCAATACTGCGGTTCAACACGACATTGAAGTCCCCTCCACACAACACCAAACCTTTAGACTCCCGTGCAACTATGTTGAATACCATTTTAAGAAAACTTGAATTACTTTCTGGTGGAGCATAGATATTAACCAATGTGATGAGTTTGTTTTCCAATTTACCTTTAATCAGCACATACCTACCCTCTTTATCCGCTACCTCTTTATACATTTCAAACTGAACTGTGTTTGCAATCAAAATGGCTACTCCTCTTTTTTGACTTTGTTTATATGAGCTATAATACATGTTTTTGTAGCCAAATCTCTTTAGTTTTTCATGCTCGTGTGAAGGCAAGTGAGTCTCCTGCATGAAAATAATTTGAGCATTTTCTTTTCTTAGTTTAGCCAAAAATTTACTTCGTTTGATTGGATTATTTAAACCATTTACATTCAAAGAAACCAGTTTTATATTGTTAAAAGGCATAATATCTGCACAGTGGAAATTTTAAACTTACCAGACAACTAAAAGTAACAGTGACCTGAACATTTGGCCAAAAACAGTCTGTCAAATAAAAATAAAAGGAAAAATAGGACTCCCAAATTGGGGTGAATCCTTTACACCCCATGTCCCCGTTGGAAGGCTGAGGGGAAAATCTCTTCACAGAGGGCCCCTCACAGGATGTGAGACGTGTCTCACGCATCCAGAGTCCAACGTAACGTTACCTTCACCCCACAGCAAGTGATTTAGAATAGATTGAAGTCGGTTAAATAGATTCACGGTTATCTTAACAAGAACACCATTGAGCAGGAAGACAATCTCCTCTCTCACCGTGAAAGGAGCGTCCTTATCCATCCCTTTCGCAGCCCTCTCAACTTGTTATATGCCGGTTCTCTGCCACTCCGTAGCTTGAGACAAACGCTCCAGTTCAGGACTCAGCTCCGCTGGGTTACGCTCCGGTACCGGCACCACGGTACCTCTTCTTCTCATCTCGATTGCCGCTTCCCGCGCGCTGCCGTAGGTACGTGCTCCCGTGTCCCAGTGTATTCGTATTTTATCCAGCGGCGTTTGGAAACGAACGCTTTTCTCTTTCAAAGCCCGCTTAATGTTTCCATATTCTCTGCGCTTCTGCACCACGTCTGTCGCGTAATCGTGGTCGAATGATATGCGCTGCCCATCATGCATTATTCTTTGTGCCCAGGCCCTTTTCAAGATACTGTATCTTCTTTGAGCGTGTATTCCTGAAAGTTTATGATTATTGACCTGGGTGGCGCATCTCCTTCTGGCTTTCGGGTCAGTGCTCTGTGGGCTCGCTGAATTCGCAGATTCATGTCCTGTGGCAGTGAAAGTGTTTTCTTCAGCAATCCGTCCATGAACTGTAGCATCGAATCACTTTCTGATCCTTCTTTGACACCATATATCCGAATGTTATTTCTTCTTGACCTCCCTTCAATGTCCGTCAGCTTACTTTGCACAATCATTTGGTTTTTCATCACTTTCGTCAATGCATCCTTCATGGCTGCGTTCAATTTCTCCGCCTCCGCGATACGTGCCTCCGCTTCAGCTAGCTTGATCTCGAGAGCGTTAGCCTTCTCAGTATTTTCAGATATACTTTGATAAACTTCACCTTTCAGCAACGCCAACTCAGCTTTCATGTCGTTTCTCAGCTCCTCTTTCATGTTCCGAAAGTCATTCTTGTTTTCAACGCGGAACTCTTGCAGATCCGTCTTTATAGCTCTTAGCATCGAGCTAACATTTTCTGCTCCATCACCTTGTTCCGTTTCTGCCATTTTCTGCCCGTTTTGTTGCGGTTCTCGTTTTCTACGACTTCTAGTCTTCACACCCCCACGCATTCCAGTCTAAATTCGAGTAACAAGGCACGGTGGTCTTGAATTGGGGGGGATTTTACCAACTTTGCTGTCGGGAGCGCTTAACTAGTCATCCATCGTGGTCGCTCGCTACCCGGAAGTCAACAAAAGTAGTTTTCAATTGAACATGCATTTCCCAAACTTGCCATGCAAGCAAGCAGGTCTAAGTTGAACAGAATATCAATAACCTACATCTCAAGAAGTAATGGGCACCTCTGCTCTATCTGAAGGTGACTTTGTTTTGGTAATTGCTGTCAGTGGGGCCTGTGTTGAAACTTAAATTGATTTGCAGTTATATTTTCTCCCCCTTGCTCTTTAAACCCATGCATCAGTTATTGCTGTATATGCTGATGCCAAGGTCATTCTCAACGTAAGAATGATTGAGTCTGACGTTAGCCCCATTGCCTCTGAATGGGCAGATGCTTCGCTGCAGAAAGTAGGTTGCCAAGTGTCTGCTTTGATAACCCAGCAGGGCAGTGGAGAGGAGCTGGCAGTATGTAGACAACTCCCAGGGAGAGAACTTTGCTGTGGGCCTGTAAGTGCATTCATTGTCTGCGTGTACAAAGCAGATCCATCCCAAAGCTTTCAGGGAACTGTGAAAGATTATTTCTTGAGGATCCACATGTTTCACTCGGGTAAGTATGAGTCAGGTCTGTGGAGATCACAGATTATATTTTGCTCTTTGGCTATATCGATGAGGTTAATATGTAATATGTGATGGTCCATTTGCTTATTGACACTAATGACGGATTTCCAATAACTCCTTGTAGGACTCAATGTTTGCTGCATGCCTTGATGTGTATACAGTATGTGTATTCATCGAAAACTGGGAAGCTGGGAAGAATAAAGGACCTTCTTTTTGTTCTTCTTCAATGTTGTGCTTTGTTTGCCACTCTTGCAATTTTTAACCGCATTTTATGTATCACAGACTAAGTTGTACCTCTTTAAAATACTTGCATGCGTAAGCCAGATCCCGTAACACCTCTGAAGCTGTGCAGGGAAGGGCCTGGTTAGCACAGTGATGGGAGACCTCTGGGAACCCCAGGTGCCACAGGGCGGCTGTGGCTGTAAAGTGCCAAACTGGAATTGTGTCCTCAGGCAAGCCATGTCACCCAAATTGCTGAGAATTAGTCTGGTGTGTGTGTGAATGGTTGGTGGTGGTCAAAGGGTCAGATGGCACATACTGGTTGCCATACTTCTGTCAGTGTGCACCAGGGCAGCTGTGGCTACAGTAGTAGTTTATCACCCCCCTCACATCCTCCGTCCCGAAGGCAGGGGCTGAGGATGTTGGGGCAGATACTTCCATTTCCCTGGCTGAGGTCACCAAGGTGGTTGGCAGCCTCCTGACTGATATCTGCCCTGACTCTCTAAAGTGTCTGGATGTCGTGGAACTGTCTTTGCTGACAAGTCTCTGCAACATCGTGGGTGGTACCTTTGAAGTGGCAGACCGGGATGGTCTACAAGAAGGAGGACCGAAGGGTGTGTTCCAGTTATCGTGGAATCACGCTCCTGAGCCTCCCCGGTAAGGTCTACTCCAAGGTACTGGAGAGGACAAGATCACAGATACAAGCGGTCAAAATCAGCTTCCTCCGCAGAGTGGCTGGGTGCTCCATTAGAGATAGGAGGAGGAGCTCAGAGTAGAGCCTCTGCTTCTCCACGTTGAGAGGAACCAGTTGAGGTGGCTCAAGCATCTGTTCTGGATGCATCCTGGACGCCTCCCTGGGGAGGCCCCGGGGAAGATTTGGGACACCCTGGAGGGACTGGTCTCTCAGCTGGCCTGGGAACCCCCTTGGGGTCCCCCCGAATGAGTATGTGTGGATAGGGAAGTCTGGGCGTCTCTGCCTAGACTGCTGCCCCCGCGGCCAGGCAACGGAAGAAGCAGAAGATAATTGATGAATGGATGGAGGGAATGGAAAATGTCATGTGAAGCGTCTTTGAGAGTCCTGAAAAGCGCTATAAAAAAACTTTAAAAATTGTCCTGTTTTTTAAGAACAGTCACACTTCACACACAATACACATCTTCCTGAATGTCTTACTAAAACATGTCTTACTAAAACATATGATTAAAATAATAGAAGTAAGTAAGTTTGTTTGTGGCTCATGGTCCATTCATATCCGACATATATTCCTATTTCCAATGAAGAGAACGCCTTGTACTACTGGCCTTGCACATAAATCTGCTTGTTCTCTTCCACTTGCTACCCCGGAGTCTTTTCTATTTGCTAAACCTTTAAAAAGCCTTTTTTTCCTGAACCGGCATGTGTGTGTCTGTCCTGCAGGCTGTGACATTGAGATAGGCATCTTTTGTTGTCAAATTAATTAGCAAGGCAGTGTGCCGGCTTTATTCAGGTTAACCCTGGCCGAAAATGGTTTAAGTCCTTGTCCTGGGAACCTTTACATCGCTATCTCAAATCCCACATGTTCATTACCTCTTTTTTTACTCTTCAGACGGAGGACTCTTGCTTACTACACTCACTAAGTGACGTATTTTTCAAACGGACAATTAATTTATTCTCAATTCAAACAAACCGCCTCAAATCTTCCTACCTTACCTTGAAATATTTCTTTTCTTCTTCCATTTTTGTTTCAAACAGATTTTCTCAAGAACAGCTCCAGCTCAAGCCCAAACATGTGTGATAAATTGATGAATTCACTAAAACATGGCTTCTTATTATAAACTTTTCAGACAGGTGTGCAAGTTGACATCCTTCATCCTCCAAAGAGTGAGAATGTTGTTCTTAGTTGTTGATCTGATATTTTGTTGTTTAAACAGTGACGTCATATACCGAGGCAGTTAGGGCATCACAGGCTGACATATTTTCATGTATATGGCTTTATCTGTCATGGTTGCAAGACGAAATGAACCCAAAACTCAGAACTGCAAACAATTGCTTTAAAATGTAATACAAAACAAATTCAGAGAAAACAACTAAAAGAAGCCAAACAGGGGACTAATGACAGACGTAAAGAAGTAATCAACAGGAAGTTGAACTAGGATTAGGTAATAATAAAACTGGAAATAAACCTAAACCATGACATTATGAATGTTGCGTGCTGCAGTTCTATATGTGCTGCTCAAAGGTGTGCAATTAAAACAGCAGGAGTTGTTTACCCCCATGATTTCAGTTGTTGAGCTTTGCTGAAGCCAAACTCTGGGAAGCGAATTATGTCAATTGAGCTCCCACCTTTTCTTCAGTCTCTCCAGTATAGAACATTGGGAGTACAGAGGTTTGTGGGATATGCGTGATGTATTGTGGACGCTCAGACATATGCTCGACACATGACAACCTCTGAGGTCTGTTTAAAAACATTTCTAGTTAAATGGATCTGTTTTGTGTTGAGAATGTCATTTCTTTTTGTCGTAAGACTGCAAATTGTGCAAAAATACGGACCACATTGAACTGTTAGACATGTCCATTGAAATGTTTAAAGAAGGACACATTATGCATTTTAAGTTTTTTTTTCTGAAATTCCTTCTGAAAGTAGATTACACTCAGTTAAAAAAAACTATTAATTGATATCATAGGTTTTTGTATGTGTACAGTAAGTGCCAAAAATAGAGGTCGAGATTGAAATTTTAACTTGTGATCTTCTGCACTTGAAGCATGTTTTCTGCCTCCACATTACTGCACAATAATTGATATATAATTATATCACGGTGTCTGAGTGGCTAGCACTCTCGCCTCTCAGCAAGAAGGTCCTGGGTTCGAATCCCGGTGGGAACAAGGTCTTTCTGAGTGGAGTTTGCATGTTCTCCCCGTGCCTGCGTAGGTTTCCTCTACCACTAAAAGCATGCTCACTAGGTTTAATCCTCCAGCTGTGGTAGTCCTGACCAAGCCGAGCATCTACATCTGGAGATGGGGACCCGGGCGCTGTTACTACAGCGACCACTTTGTAAGCCTTCGCGGCATCAGGATGGGTCAAATGCAGAGGATGAATTTCCCTAAGGGGATTAATAAAGTGCACCTTTACCTTATTTAGAATGACCTATGAAGACTGTGCTGTATTTATTATTACCGTTCCCAATATTAGGGGATTTCTTGGACTTATCTGCTCAACCTTTTCATCCCATCCATACACCAACATCTTAAAAATAGTTATGTGTTTAAGTGGTCTGCATGGCCAGCTATTGTACCTAACCCCAGAGACTCACCACTATAGTGGGCAGTAATAATCAAAGCTTGAGCCGAGGGGAATGAAAACAAGGGCGTGGATAAAGTGGAGATTCTCTTTTATTTGCTGCATGGACCTGCTGTGCTCCTCCATAAGGCCAGGTAAGACCCACATTATGAGAGGAGCTCAGAGGCAGAGCCCTGCTGGTGCCACCTGGATTTACACAACCAATCATATCACTCCAGTCATTCTTTTCTGGAAACATAAGGTGGATTTTTTATGTTTCCTTTTTTGGGCTGCACACACCACAATAACACCTAAAAATGAAATACATATAAGTTATTTTAATTTGCATGTACATGGTAGGGATGTCTGTCAAATTTGTGGTCACTTAGGAAAGATGTTGACTGCCAATACTATTGCATTACACAAGGTATACAGTATTTTCTCTGAAAGGCCGCCTTATTATGTGGAGGACCTGCTTTCAAGTATTAACCATTTAACCATTTTGGAAAAATATACCGGTAACACTTTTTAATAATGGTACATGAGTTCATGCATGATTTTCATGAACTAATTAACCAATTAATGCATGATTTCATGATACATTATTGCATTAATTTTTTAATTCACTGAAGGCTACATCAGTTAAAAAACGTAGCAACAACATTGACTTACTGAGCAAGATTGATACCTAAAAGATGAAAACATCCATTTATTTTATGGATTATGTATCCATGTAATGTTTTTATCTGTGTATAGGGTTAGGGTTGGATAAAGTATCTTAATATTTTATTTACCTACAATGAGTCATGAGGTGCTGGGGGTGAGTCTGTGACCTGCTTCCCTGTCCAGCTCTGTGGCCTGTTACA